CCTCGTCCTTGCTCAAGCTTGTAGCGTTGTGTCATAATTGGAGTCCTGGGACCAGACCCTTTCCTTCCCAGCATAGTCCATCCCATCCCAGGGCAAGGCAAGCTTTGTTTCCCATGGCTCCACATTCACCTCAGTCCTTACACTAGCTGTGAAGCTACTGAAGCCCTTGGGATTGAGATCCAGGAACCCAGTGCAGCCACCAGGGCAGGGGAGATGATCCTGGGCTCTGCTTTCCTGCCAAAGCTCCTCTAGCCTGCATGGGCTCACCTGGGGTGGAGGAGGTAGCGCCATCCCTTGGGTCTGAAGAGTTGGGCTTTTCAAGTCTAAAACATCTCTTGCCTGTCAGAAAGTCAAGACGTACAGACTATGGCACCATGTGAATTTACATTTATGTTTATTCAGGAGAGGCAGGAAAATGTCACTCAGGGAGGCCTGAACCTTGACCGCTGTACCCTAAATTCTGAAAACCACCAAGGGAGTTCCGGATCAAACCAGTAGCCTCTCCTGCTCACCAGGTGGCAACACTCCTCAGGCCTCTTACAGCTGCAGCCTGGGGCCTAGTGGCTTGGTCTACAGGTTTGAGTCAGGTCTGGGCTAGAAATGGGCAGTATGAGCTCATCATAGCAGCTGCTTTATAGAGACAAAGTCTCTAGGCGGTTGGTTGGGTTGGGCATAGATGTCCCATGACCCAGGGCAAAGTGCATGCCCTAGGCCTGCTGAAGTGGCCAGAAGCCTGGGCCTGCTCTCTGGACCCAGTCTGTCTGGAGCTCCTCAGCAGAGCATGGCACAGGTCCTGTCTGAAGAAGCTGAGTGACAGAAAAGCCTGTAGCAGTCAGAGCTGCGTGGGCACCAGGAAGGCTGTGCTGGGGGAGGATGGCATCCTCACTATCAGCCCTGCCCAGGCCCCAGCCCTGGGCCTGATGCTGAACTGGGGCCACCCTGGGGGAGGGAGATTGGCCTAGATGCCTTCTGTGAGCTGTCATTCACTTAACATGCATCTCTTCCCACGAGCTGTTAACAGTTGTTAGTGGGGCCTCTGTGGTGACATCTCTGACAAGAGGGATGCAGGTCTGTTTCTGCCCAGGAGCACCTTTATTGATATCTTTAGTCTTTTTTTTTCTTCTTCTCTTTCTCTTTCTTTCTTTCTTTCTTTCTTTCTTTCTTTCTTTCTTTCTTTCTGTTTTTCTTTCTTTCTTCCTTTTTCAGATAGGGTCTCACTATGTAGCTCTAGCTGTCCTAGAACTCACTCTGTAGACCAGGCTGGCTTTACACTCAAGAGATCTGCCTGCCTCTGCCTCCTGAGTGTTGGGATTAAAGGTGTGTGATAGTCTCCTGTGGTCATTTCAGCTGGCCAGTGACAGAGCAGCAGCAATCAAAGTCCTGATGGGGAGCCAGGGCCTCCCCATGACCTCCTCAGATCAAGGTTGCAAGCAAGAATGGGGTGGGTGGCAATGGAGTGAGGGGTTTCTTGGGCCACAAGATCTTTTTATTATTGACAGAATGTTTTAAGACGTGACAGCTCTTTCCCATTCCCACCACGCTAGGATTTCAGTCAAATATTAAACTCATGTTTCCTTTTTTTCCTGTTCTGGATTTCTATGTTTGATCAAAAGAGAAAATTTCACCCTTGTTGTGTGGCCAAAAAAGCAATAGGCAGTCATGGTCATTTCTTACCTGTATAAGAATTTCTTTTTGGGACGGAGGGAGGTTGTAAAAGGATCTCACTATAGAATTCAGGCTAGTCTCAAACGCATGATTCCTGTCTTAGTTTCCAAACTGCTAGGATTATAAGGGTGTACCATGATGCCCAGGTTTATAAAGAACTTTAATATAAAAAAAGAGAGAAGGATGGGGTAGGGAATTTTACATTTCTTCCCAGTCAGAATAGCAGTCATTAAGAAAATGAATAGCAACAGAAGGCTGTGTACATCAGGGAAGCTTATATAGTGCTGGCGAGAATGTGAACAAGTCTAGCCACTATGGAAATCAGTATGGAGGCTCCTCAAAAAACTAAAAATAGACCTACCATTCAAACCAGCTATTCCACTCATGGGTATTAACCCAGAAGACTACAAGTCAACATAGCACAGAGATACATGCATATCAGTGTTTACTACAGCAAGCCACCCTTGCCAAGTTGTGGAACCAACCTGGGTGTCTGTCTACAGAGGAATGGACAAAGAAAATGCAGTATACATACACCAGGAATTTTTTTTTCAGACATGAAGAATGACATTAATATCATCTTCAAGAAAATGACTGTAACTGGAGATAATTATAGTAAGCAAATTAAGTCAGTCTCAGAAAAACAACGATGAAGCTTTCAGGGGAGGGTACAGGGACATGAGAGGGATATACTCAAAGTACATGTGGTAGTTTGAATGTAATTAGCCTCCATAATCTCACAGGAAGTGGCACTATTAGGAGGTGTGGCTTTGTTGGAGTGGGTATGGCCTTGGAGGAACTGCATTACTGTGGGGGTCTGGTTTTGAGGTTTCCTATGCTCAGGACATACTGCCGAGTGTCTCAGTCTATTTCTTGTTGCCTGCAAGATGTAGTACTCTGAGCTCCTTCTCCAGTACCATGTCTGCTTGCATGCCCCCATGTCCCACCATGATGATAATGGACTGAACCTCTGAACTGTAAGTGAGTCTCCCCAATTAAATGTTTTCCTTTAGAAGACTTACCATGGTCATGGTGTGTCTTCATAGTAATAGAAACCCTAACTAAGGCAGGGAGTTGGTGGTGCATACCTTTAATCCTAACACTCAGGAGGCAGAGGCAGGGGTATCTATGTGAGTTCGAAGCCAGCCTGGTCTACAGAGCAAGATCCAGGACAGGCTCTAAAGCTAAACAGAGAAACCCTGTCTCA